AAGAGAAAAAACGTACAATAAAACCTTGGGAAAAGTTATAGTAACTTTTTCTGTGAGTGTTTTGCAAGATGGGCAAATATTTTCAATAAATTTTAATCTGATAAATGAACAATGTCTTGTAATACCAGTAGTATGTGATGCCAAACATGATTACAACTGAGCTAATGGTTCTCTCTCTCTGCCGCTGTCTCTGCTCTCTCTGTGTCTCTGTCTCAGTCTCTCTGTCTGTGTGTCTGTGTGTCTGTGTGTCTGTCTGTCTTGCTCTCGCTCTTGCTGCAGGATTTGGAGTGACTGTTTCCCAATGGCAAGAGGTTATGGAGGAGATCTCACCAGCAGAGGTGGAGGAGAAAAAGGCAGAGGAATCCCACATTTCAAATGAGACCAGTGAGATGTGTAAAATGTGGGAAACTGCAAAATGTTGTAGAAAAGCACCCCCCAAAGAAGGCTGTAGCACTGGGGCGATGAGTCTGTTTAATGACGACACAATGTTACACTTCTGCAAAATCCTCAAAAGGATGCAAAAGCGAGTGTCACTGGATAGGTTCCTCGTTAAAGTCGCATGAAAAGATTTCATTGAGCCAACAGACAGCAGTGAATCCATTAGTGATAGTGAAAGTCGTCCTACACAATAACCCTCCTCTCTGGTCTCTCTCACACCAACCACAAAGGCTTTAAAAGTGAAGTGCAAATTAATTTGTTCATTTTTCTTTATAGTTTATATTTTCTTTATTATGCTGTATTATATATACCATACTATAATCAGACATTTTCTTATCTATCGGTTGCTAGGCAATTCTTACGTAAGTTATCAGAGACTCCCTATCAGTGTGGGGTCACGTAGCTTGCAGCTTGGTAAAGGCACTGGTCAACTACACACCTTCACTGAGTCTGTCACAAGTAGGAAGGCGCTGCGAATGTGAGCACTCAACAAATGCACCAGGGCATTGTTTTCTATGGTTTGATCTTGACAACTCCAAAGGTAGCTGGCTGGTAACTGATTCGAGGGCTCCCCTACCCAGGCAGGCAAAAGTAAAGGAAGGATGAGGGAGAAGAAAGAGGAAGCCTCTCCAATTCCCAGGATCCAGCCCAGTAGTGTGTGTCATTTTCAAAGGGTGGCACTTGTCTTCTGCATGTTTCTTTTCTGGACCCTTCTGCACCTACCTGTGCCTCTCTGCTTTGGCCTCTCTCTCTGCCCACAGCCTGGAGCTAAGAGACTCCATCATCTTAGCCCACCTGGAATTATTCACTGACCCTTCCTCCTGCTCCTAATCCAAATGAAACGCTCTTCCTTTAATGTGTTCACTGAGCCCAAACTGTATTGCCTCTAATAAACAATGAGGGGATGGTTATCCTCAAATACAGTGTTTTGAATTTGTTGCTCTGAGTAGGTCTTTATTTTGATTCTTTTGTCTGGGGTAATTCTCCAGGTGACTTACACACATCAGGGCTGAGGATCACTTGGAAAGCTGATTTTGACTAGATGCTAAATGCCTATGACTGAATTTGTTCCCTTCCAGGGCATGGACAACAGATGAACTAATCTACAGATATTAGTAGATTTAGGGAAGTATTTATTGTTATTATTATTATTTATTTATTTATTTTTGTTGAACTGGGAATTGAACTCAGGCCCCTGTGCTTGCCAGGGAAGCGCTTATTCTACTGAGCTCTCATCGGCCAAGGAAAGTATTTTAATGGAATATGAAAAAGTTTAAGCAGCAAGCTTTAGATTTGGTGGATGGGCCAATCCTCTTATAGAAGCTGCAATAAATATGCCTGAGCTATTCTGACAGTTGGTAGCTTCTTCCCTTCTTCTTTGTCTAAATCCACAGCCTTTAGGAAGTCCACCTTCTCTAGCCCAGCCTCTCCCACACCCCCACCTCCAGCAACTCCCACTGGACTCAGATCATGGGAGATGTAAATAAGGGTAGGGCTGTTTATAAGGGACAGGACTGACATTATTTCCTGAGACTATTTGAGAATAAGGTTTATAAGCTTCATTCTCTTTTTGATGAGAAGACACTGTGGGTCAGGGCTGAAGGGTTCATGGGTGTTGGAGCTGACAGCCCATTCACCTGTTCCCGTCTTCTCTCACACTGAAATCCAGGGAGTAGACTGGGAACTTGCTCCTGTAGTGTCTTTGGGGAGGAACACTGGGCTGAATGGCCCAGGTGCTTTGCCACCAGGGGCTTCTGCCCTGCCACTAGCAACTTTTTTTATCTATGAACTCTGGTTCTATTCTTAGACTAATACAGAAACCATATGACTTAAGCCAAAACCTAATGAGTAGCACTGACTGCATTTTGAGGTTTCAGGAAAATGCAGAAGGCAGTGGCAGTGGACCTGACACACTGGACTGTGGCGGATACAGCTCCAAAGCCTGCCCATGGGAGTGCAGAGGTCTCTCTGGGGGAGAATTCATTCTCAAGATGAGAATTCTCTCCTCTGTCTTTATATTCAAGGTGCTACACCTAGTAGTTAGAAGAGTCACCTTTACTGGGTGCTCTTATCAGCTTCTTTGTCTTTAATTGGCTTTCCATTTTATGAAGGGGTCCCTAAGAGACAGTCAATTTTCCCTATAAAGGTCATGTTGAGAAACACCACATCTTGAAACTGCTCACAAACTCATCCCTTTATGCAGAAACACATGCAGAGACTGGCTTATAGTATTTTAGGACAATTGACTCAATAACCCCAAAATGAACTCTGGAGAAAAATCTATTAATTCAACTCCCTAAGTTAAGACCAGCATGTTCTGCTCAAAGAAGAGAGGATGGAAGGAGGTGCAATTCATGTGGGACAAGCCTAGACCCTTTTCTGGACACATCAGCACTCAGCAGCAACTTTCAGGGCTGTGTCTCTGCAGACTCACCTGTTTTCATACTAAAAATCCCACAGCCACTGAGGTAGAAATTGGCCTGAAGGCAGGACATTCTTCTGCACATCAATGGGAGGGAGATGCCTTGGAATCACCTCACTAAGTGCAGGGATTGAGGTGGTGGGGTGAGGGAAGGGGTCCTTGCTATTAAAAATCAAAGAAGCACCTTTCTAATATAAGGGTCTATATCGATGGGAGGAATGTTGTTTTTGTTTCAGCAGTATTGAAGATTGAACCCAATGCCTCTTTCACCCCAGCCTTTTTTGCATTTTGCTCTGAGGTTTTCATTAAGTTGTCCAGGCTGTCCTAGAATTTGTGATCCTCCTGCCTCAGGTAACTGGGATTACAGGTGTGTGCCACTCAGCTCAGCTGTGAAGAGTGCTCTCTTAGAGACACGGGGATCATCTGTGAGGAGGTCCAGGTGTGTCATATGTAGTGTGTGTGTGTGTGTGTGTGTGTGTGTGTGTGTGTATGTGTATGTGTGTACCAAGTCACATGGAGACCAGTGGTCCCACTGCTGAATAGATGATGAGACCTCTTTGTAGAGAAATAAGAAAAGTCCAAAGTAGATTCACCATCAGCAAGTACTCCGGGACTTCTGGGGGTCACTCTCAGTGGAAGTCTTTAAGGCCCTAAGCAGGATCTGGCTCATGTAGGAGCCAAACAGAAGAAGAAAATCCAGCTAGGGATCAGAGACTGCCCATGTGACAGCCTTGGCAACAAAATAACTAGAAAGCTGTGGCTGACAGTACCAGGGATATGATACCCAATACATGGCAGGTGGGAAGGGATGGTGGTGACTTCAAGTAATGAGACTCAATATCCATGAAAATAATAATAACAGCAGCAACAACAAGAACAACAAAAAGAAGGATGAGGGCTTTTCAACAGAGAACCTGTGGAAAGGGGACCACCACTTTTCCCACCCTGCAGGGTGCTCCTCCACCCAGGGTTAGCACTGCTTTGATGCGCTTCGGTGTCTCAGACATTTGCCCTCACACTGCCTGGCCTTGCTCAGAGAAAACAACATCTGGCTACTCCTGGCTACTCCACAGTGGGAGGCTAGGGGCGGCTACAGGTCACACAGAGGTGTGGGTGGCGTGGAACACAGTTACTACTGCCTTCCACCAGGGCCGCTCTCCTTGGATTGGAAAAGTGGCTGATGCTGATCCATTTTGATGACAAAAGCAATCACAAGGCTCGCAGGGGAGAGAAAAAAAATTTAAAGAGGGAAAAGAGTACAGAAGAGCAAAGCAAAGCTGAGTGTGAAATTCAGTACCCTGTCCACACAACAGCTGGGGCCCATGGTCCCTGGGGAATGCTGGCTTCTGCCCAACCGTATAGATGGCCGGCCACCTGCTGAATATGGCCAGGATCATTCATGTCCCTTCACTCATGGATGAGGCCATATCTGTAGGACCACACTAAATGGAGAAGCAACATTCACTGGCATAAGAGGGGCAGTGACCAATGGGAAGAGGCCATATTTATTTTACTTTTGTTGACTGATTACTAAAGAAACAGAGTAACAAGTGGTCAAGAGTGAAAGTGGGATTGAGAACATGCCAATACTCAGTCTTGTCCTTGATCTAGAATATCACCAGCTCTGCTCATCCTCTTATTGGTAAGGTCTCTTCTGGCTCTGACTGAACTAGACCACACCATGGGCCAAAAGGTTAAGGCATTTCAACATGAACCCCCATATTTCTGACCCAACCAGATTGTGTTTTGGTTACAGAGTATTTCATGGTAGAGAATATACAGCGGCAAGGAGCCACACAACATCTGCATCTTACAGCAGCACCAATGCCATCAGAGGTTCCTAGATGAGGGGGGATACTTGTCACAGCCAGCCACACAACTGATGTATGTGTTGCCATGTGTGAATTCCAGAGTCAAGGCCTGTTTAGCTCCCCTGCTAGTTGTTGTTGTGAAGCTGTCTTCAGAACAACAGACACATAAAAATTACTGCTCCCTGCAAGGCTCCAGGGTTGAGACACTTCCGTGAGTCTAGGCAGGTTTCCTCTGGCTTATTACAGGAGACATAATTGCTTTTGTTACACATCCATAGGAACCTGGAAAAGACATGTTTTATGGTCCTCATTTTCAATGCCCTACTTACCAACTTCATCCCTGATGTTTGCAAGTTCGATTGACAGCTCTTTCTCTTTCACAAGGGCACTTTCATTCTGAAAAAACAAAACGAATACCAAGAATCCCCTAGTTTTATGCTAAATACGTACTTTTACATGTTTAATTAATGAATCACATTAAGCAAATATTTATAAGTCTAGCCCTTAAGGAGATAATTTTTCTCATTACATAAGCATTAAAAAACTTAAAAGCCATGTCTGACTCATTCATTCATTTGTATTCATTCAAATATCAAACTTCGCAATGTAATATTTAAAATACCCATAGCTGTTCTTTTTCTCTATGAGCATATTATACTTCTATAGATCATCCGGAAATAATTCTTTGTATGTATGTGTCCTACACATCAATATACCACGTAATATTACTACATATTGCTAAGTCTTTCCACTTTTTAGCCATGTTATTTTTCTCTGATGGACAAAGACTTGTTTTACCACTTTTTCCCTAAACTTACCCTTTGTCTGTACCTGGTTAGCTACCTAACGAATGATAAAGATGCAAGCTGAATCCTCACAATGAAACATTTATCTTTAACAAGACCAACCTCAGCAGTTAAGGCTTTTCAAATTTTTTTCTTTCACTATTGGTATCAATACAAGGGATGAGAGGAAACTGTATATTTGAGGTATTAGTGCAAAGAATGCCACTCGCCACCTAAAGACGGCTAAGGTATCTTCAAATCAAATATATTCTGTCACATACAAGAAGAAATAATGGAAGACATGCTGAATTTTTAGCCTACATTATAATAATTCAATAAAATGTTTATTAACATATAAAGCATTTGTTAAGATTCTATTTCTAAAACTACTCATAATAATGATAAAATGCTAACAATAAGTGACAGGTATTAGCCTTTCAAAGAAACCGTCATTCAATAAAAGGGAACAAATTTTGAGAGATAGAATTATTTGGCTCAAATCTAGACCATAACCCTCGCACAGATACCACCAGAGCCTTGTGAATGTTTTCTATAGTTTGCACATTCAATGCCTCAAAAGGTCTGTGTGTTAAAGGCTTGGTCCCAAAGTGGAGCTCTTCAGAGTTGCTGTGAACAACTGAAAATGAGGGATCCACCAGGAGGTCCTGAGGATACTGGGGACTGTGGGCCTGAGCCTCTTCTTTCTTTTGCTTCCTGACCATGAAGTGAGTAGTTCACTCTGCAGGTTATTCCCTACCCCTGCCATCTGGCATACCCACCATTGTTCCAAACCAGTGGGTCCCCCTAAGCTTGAACTGCGACTTCAAAAATAGTGAGCCAAAATGAACTCTTTTCTAAGTTACTTATCTAGGTATTTCATTATAGTGATAGAAAACAGACTACTACAATATTATTTATTGAATATCTTTGTCTTTAGTTTCAGTACCTTTGATGCATCTGTGGCCAAAAAACTATAGGCAGCTATTACATCCCTTTCCTGTGACTAGGTCAATTAGACTTACATAAGAAGGGCACTAGATTGGGTTCCAGGGAGTCTCAGGTTACCCAAAGGTCTTTGCTTAGCAATGTTACAATATTCATAATTTTAAGGGTAAAACTGTTCACAACAATCTGAGAGCTACTGTCGTCACAGTTGTTGACAACTGTTAGCTAGTGACCCTCTGAAGAAAATGTAGCAACAAAACAATCCTTTGAGGGATAATAGGCCTTGCAAGGGTCTGAATATTTGTAGCCGCCAAATTTCATATGTTGTAATCCCAGCTCATGATAAGAATAAGAGCTTGTGGAAGTAGGTCTTGGGATGACTTGGTTCTGAAGGAGCCTTCGTGAATGGGATGAGCGTTCCTATGCTAGAAGCCCCAGAGAATAAGCTTGGCCTTTCATAGGAGAAGACACAGCAAGAAGGTGTTGCTATACGAGAGTGGGCACCCACCAGACTCCACACTTGCTGGAGCCTAATTTGTGAAGCTCTTCCCTATGAGTTCAGGGTTAGCAATTACAGCCAAGGTTGTATTTTCCTTATCATGAAATGATGCTATCTCAATGCAAACCCATGCACAGGGCTATGATGACAGTTCAGTGAATTAGTGTATATGTGATGTTGTTGAATTGCAGTGAGCACTTAGTCAGCTGATACAAATGCTAGGTATTACTATAGTCCCATGGCTTCTTTTTATTTTAGTTTCAATTGAATAACAATTTTTAATATGTGCTTTCCTACGTTAACTATCTGCTTAGAATTTTCATGTAAGTTTTTTTTTTCTTTTTTTGTATTTTAGGGGAGGATCTACAGGGTGTTCAGGGTCTCACTACTAGATCGGACTCATAGTGATCCACCTGTTCACAGCCTCCCAAGAGCTGGGATTACAGGTGCATGCCACCACGCCCAGTCTCAATCACCTTCTCAGTGTGCCCGGGGGTGGAGCCTGCACAGCAGGCCCAGGGATTGAATCCCAGGTGCTTTAATCCACTGAGCTATTTGGCTGGCCTTTTCATATCAGTTTTATGCTCTAGTTTCTTGAACACCTTCCTGGGTCTGTCCTGACTAATTATTTTTTGTGGTGTTGGATATTAATCTTCAGGTCTCAAACATGCTAGGCAAGTGCTTTACCACTGCACCACATACCCAGAGAGAACAGAAAGATTGACAGGGCTGGGAATGCAGCTTAGTGGTATAGTACTTGCTTAATATACAGAAGGCCCCGGGTTCCATTGCCTGCACTTCCCCTAAAAAGGGCAACTGGCTGTTAACTCAAATAGGTTTTGTTTAAAGATTATTTACTGATTAATAAAGGCTTGTAATGCTAACTTCTACAAAACACTTCCTGTAAGCCCTACATAGTGTTAGGCAAGATCCCATTTACCCAT